GAAGAGCGAGTCCCTCCTGCCCTCGCTCTCCTCCACCGTGCTGTGCTCGTCGTCAGCAAACTCGTTCTCCGAGCCCGGGTCGCGGAAACGCCCCTTGTAGCTGAAGATGCTGCTCTTGCTGTTGTGGCGGGAGAGGAAAGGGGAGCCCGGGATGCTGAGGAGAGACTGGGAGAGGAAGAGGAGGAAAGTGAGAGTTGCAGCTCTCCGGCCACAGAAACAGACAACTTTCCCAGCAAAGTCTGTGAGCAGATCAAAGAAAAGAATGAGAAATAATTCTTGTCTTAACTTGCTGTGCCTGGTGTTTGTGGATGTGTGGAATGCGTTAGGGAGATTTTTTTATTAAGTGTGGTTTCTTAATTATCCAGTGGTGATGGTGTTTTGATTGGAGGACCAATTAGGTCCAGCTCTATCACAGCTGTCTATAAAGGTATGGATTTCTTAATAAAGGCAATAATCAGCCTTCTGTAATACACGGGGTCTATGTCAGTTATTGCGCATCAGGGACCCGTTTGTCATGACACTGACGTTTTTCCAGTAAGGTGGAAAAATGATAAAGAAAGTCCTCTCAAAATCAGCCCCTCTCTGGTTGAATTTAAAAGTAATTTCTTCTTTCTTTTAGAAGTCATTGATTCTAAGCCAAGCTAGCATTTTGCAGTTTCCCGTGTGAAAGCAGTCCTGTTGTGAGCAGTTTGCTAACAAACAACACCAATCTATTCCTGGGTCAAAAACAACTGGCACCTGTATAAACTGTTTAGATAGAAACTACACTGTTAGACTTAACTCTACACTGTCATCAACTTGGGTTCTAAGTGTTCTCCTGACCCAACAGAGCTCAGGACAGTGGGCACAACCCTTGAGACACCAACAGGAATCTAAACAGAATATTATCCTGACCTCAACCACAAACATTAGAGAAGGAACAGAAAACTACCTGGTTCATGATGGAAAACTTCCTTCCCAGCCTGTTATCTGGCAGCCTGAACGCTTTCCTCCTCATGCCATCCTCAGACTCGGACTTGAACACCTTCTCGGTGTCACACTTCTCATCTCCCTCCGACAGCTCCTTGTCCTTCCGCTTCTTCCTCCGGTTGCGCCGCTCCTTGGCGCTCTTGGAGCTGAGCTTGGAGATCTCCGAGGAGCTGCGGGACATCCTGCCCCCACCATCATCCTCCACAGCATCCTCAGACACCGTCCCTGCCGAGGTGACCATGGCAGCAGCCTGAGGGGGCAGAAAAGGGAAGCAAAGATAAATCGCATTTCCCCACCGTTAACGCTCCATTTGCTGCTGGAAGAAAGAGTTTGGCTTAATGCACCTGAGTAAAAGACTCTGGGGTAGGACTGAGAGGTTTATTCTCTCCTTGGAATACACTCACAGCCAGAATTTGTTAGAATTTTTTACAGTCTGCTTGTGCAGGCAGAAAAATCAGCTTTTCTGGAAACCAGGGCCTCATCACCCCTACAGAAAGGAATTGGTTTTTTTCTCACCTGTGCTTCTTCCTGCTGCTTTTTCAATTGTTCCAACATGGCCTTGAATTCTGCCTCCTTCTGCTCTGCCTCCTCCAGGGTCGCCTGGTTCTGCTCCTCGTAGGCCATGGCCACCACAGCCAAAATCAGATTCACCAGGTAGAAGGATCCCACAAAGATCACCAGCACAAAGAAGATCATGTAGGTTTTTCCTGCCGCTCGTAAAGTCTGCAAGTGGAAGAGAATGGCAGAGGGATTAGAAAAGGGAAAAAAAAAACCAACTTCAGGCTTCCCTGACACCAGATGCAAGAGCTGATCCCAAGTTTCTTGACCTGAATGTTTCTCAGAAAATCCAGCAGTGCTGAATATTCCAGAGCTCAGCATTTCCCCTGCACGTTCCTTAGCCATGAACACAAAAGGTGACATCCACCTTCCTCCCTTAAGGGAGCATCCAAACTGAAAAGAATTCAGCGGCGCAGTGCGAAACCCAATGCTCAGACTCCCTTAAAACAAACCAAATGGAGAAAAAGCTGCTTCAGCAAGGTCCCCAAAGCACCCTCAGGTCAGGAGAAAACTCCGTGCCCTCCAAAGAGCCTGAGCAGCCTCCGTGGGCAGAGCTGAACGCTCACAGCCAGTGCTAAGGCTGCTCCCAAATTAATTCACAGCTCAGCTGGACCCACCATCCCTCCTGGACTTACAGTCCAACACCTGCTGACAATAATGCCCCTTCCTCCCCCAAAAAACCTCACTGTGAAGGTTTACTTGCGCTCTTTTGGAGAGAAGGAATAAAACAAAGCTCCTCACGTTTCCCTTTCCTGTTTTACCCCCAGATTCTCCCTGCATACAACACAAAAGTGAAGTGTTTACTTACTAATTGATACAAGTTTTCCCAAAAGTCCTGAGTCATAAGGCGAAATAAAGCCAGAAAAGCCCAGCTGAAGGTGTCGAAGCTGGTGTAGCCGTAGTTGGGGTTCCGTCCTGCCTTCATGCACGTGTATCCCTCCGGGCATTGGCTGGGGAGGGAGGGACAGCAGCCAGGTCAGGCTCTCCCTGCTCACTCTCCCAACACACAGCAGCTCTCCCCACGCCATTTGAGTGCAGCAAAGGAGACAGGATTGCAGGAAAGCCCTGCTCTCCCTGTCCCACAGCACTGGGACGCTGCAAGGCGCAGCTTCTCCCCAAGGCCGAGCCCAAGGCAGGAGAGCTGAAGGGTGGGGTGGAAAACCAACAGCACATGGCAAGTTCCCATTTCTGAGCCTCCATCCACCCTTCTCTGACTGCATTCAGAGGGAATAATGCCCCTGGCATTGGTGGCCAGAGCTGCCTCCTGACAGGGAAAATGTCCCTTACGTGGCATCAGCAATGGATTCATAATCAGGTTAAGAAATTTGAAACTTGGTCAAGTAACACCAGAACCAACAGAGGAAGCAACAGGGAATATCCCAAAGGTTGTGCCAGCTTTAGGTAAATCATTGTTAATGAAGCTCAAACTGGTTGTTAATGAAGCTCAACACTCACCCTGCATCCGAGCTGTTACCACAGAGCAAAGGGTCGGGGGCGCCAGGAATGATGTAAAAATTTGCTGAAGGTGAAAAAGAAGAGGTTACATTCACACACATATGGAGTTAGAGGATTTAACAGACAATAACACTGTTAAAACCTTCACTTAAAAGACCCCCCCAAAAGCACTGCTGAGAAATTTGTCAGTAAAAAATAGTTTTTGGACTAATTATTTAGCTAAAAGAGCACATCCAAACCCTTCTAAAGGATGAATTCAACTAGGAACATCTCAACAAGGTCAAATAAAAAAAAACCTGAAAAACTTCTGCACATGGGGTTTTTACTGTGAAAACCAGACACACCAAAGCATGAGCCATGCTGGAACTCCTGCACTGACCAAGTCAGGAGGTTTTAGAGACCCGCAGTGTAGAAATACCTACACACATTGTTGGTGTATTCCTCCCAGTCGAAGCCTCTGGAGCCATTATCCAGGAAGGTCTCGTTCACATTAATCGGCCAAATCACACACTTGTTCCTCAAGTTGCCCATGAACAGCTGGAGCCCAATGAGGGCAAAGACGCTGAGACAGAAAACTGTCAGGATCATCACATCCGACAGCTTCTTCACAGACTGGATCAGGGCGCCCACGATGGTCTTCAGGCCTGCGGAGAGGAAACAAGACTGGAAATCACTCCTGTAGCAGGAAACCACACTGAAAACCCAGATGAATACAGTACCTTGGAGTGACTCTGGGGTGGGAGAGGCTGGGAATGGTGGAGGTTCCTGGAACAGGCGTGTGTGGGGAGGATTCCCAGCCAGCACAGCACTGGGATGGAGGCAAGGATGGGTGAGAACAAACCAGAACCCCCAGGTTTGTCCCTGAGCCTGGCAGCAGGACTGCACAATGCGGGGAATAGCTCCTCCCTGTAGTAAACCCCTCAGGTTTAGCCAGGGCCCCTTGGAGAATAGAATGCTGACACAGCGGCAAAGAAGTTTCCTGTCTCCAGGGACATCCGCCTTGTACCTTATCCCTATAGCCATGNAAATAAATAAATAAACAGGCTGGAGCAGCTCAGTCAATAAAATACATTATTTTTCTCCTAAGAACACCATCGGATGGTGCCTCCAAAGCTCTGCAATTGGACATTCTGGAGGAGCTTTGCCATCAGCAGGATGTTTTAGAAATGCCCAAAAAGCAAGAAATTTAGGCAGTGTCTAATTACAGACAAGGTGGCTGCGGTTTGTTCTCCAGATAATAATTCTGTTTATTTCTATGTAATATCCTAATATTTATTTCATTAATTTTTAATTCCATTTAACCATTTCAGTAGCTTTTAAAGCCTAACTCTCCTTCATGTAAAACACAACCTTAACTTACATCTGTTCCAAAACTCATCCACGTGTGTGAACAGGGAAAATAAAGGAGAATTTCCCTTCATTGGAGTGGCTAAAAAACTGCTTTTTCCTCCAGTAAAAATCTGGATTTTTTTGCATATTCTGAGGCCACATCTCCAGGTGCAGGACTGGCATTTATATTTGAACTGAGCAAACAACAACAGCTAAGAGATTTTCAATAAATGGAAAAGATTAGCAAAAGACAAGAGCTAAGAGATTTTCAACAAATACCCAAAGGTAATTCGGTAATAAAAAGGATATGAATGTATCAAAATTTTAATAGCTATTCTTCTAAAGAGATTAAAAGGACTTAAAATGTACAAGGCAGGTGTGGCACTAAATCGGAAGAGTGTTTTCCCTCTGTTTAGTACTACAAAGGTCTGCAGAGAAAAAAAGAAAGAGAGAAAGAGAGAGTTAATGCAGGAAAATCATAGAAGTGATTGTACAAAGCAGACAGAATTCCAGGGTTAAAAAAAATAGCATTTTCTGTTGGTTTTTATTTTGAATAATCTGCTTTACGAAGCTCCCATTAGGGTACAACACACCTGAACATCACAGGCATCACCCACCAGGACACCAGGGGTAATTCCACTCCAAAAATCCATTTATAATCGGAGATCCCGGCCAGGGCAGAAGCCAAAATTCCAAATTTCCCACCCAAGCCCCTCTTTGTCTCCCACACCCCATTATTCCTTCCTAAGGATCCCCAGAGCCCCAGAACCAGACCTGGCACAGCCCCTGCTGGAATCTGACATGTAAAGAACTCTTAGAATTTGAGACTTGCAAGCTAAAATTTAATATTAAACAGGATTTGATCTGAGACCTTGGAAAATGCCTTTAAGTTTAAGTGTTAAAGGTAAAAATGTGGATTTAAAGTAGAGACACGTTAAGCTAAGTAAAGTTTGAAGTTTCAGAGTTTAGGATATAGAAAATAATAAAAGTAGTTACAGAGATAAAGAAGGAGTTTAGAATATAGCACTATAGGTTTGTGTGTTATAACATGATTGGCTAAGAAAGTTTACATTGTAGGATGAGCCTACAACATGAAATATTTAAGGACTGGGTCAAAAATATAAATATCTTTGCTTTATTTAATTGGTTAATAACTCTTTAAAAGGCCTTGTAATTAAGGGTCTTGGACTTTCTGAGTTCTGCTGTAACAATGTGAGCTGAACTCATCCTTCTTATGCAAAAAATAAGCAAATTAAGTGCATCACTAAAAACAACACAGAGGTCTTGTCTCAAACTTATTCAAAACTGCCCACAGGTGAATTATCACACCTCCCAAATAACCACAACAGATCCTGCAGTTACAAATCCCTGGAAGGACAGACTGACAGGCAAAGAGGATGAAAATGTGGTGGCAGCGTCTACAGGTCACCCACCATGCCCAGCACAGCATCTCACTGCTTCTCCCTACACAGCTGGTGAAAATGTGAGATTAA